GATGCGTGTGCTTCGCTGAAGAGGTAAAAATCAGCTTGTATCAGCCTAACGAGCATATTTATAGGGTGAGACCACGCCCCTTCTGGCGGGACGTGACGATATGGGCGCGAATTGCCCCCATTGGTCATTACGTCACGCAGAGTCTCTCTCGATAGGCTGCTGCATTTGCTGCAGAGCAACCAATAGGCGCGCGAGCTGTTTCGCCTATGTCTGCTTGCTGCTGCAAAGCGTTTTACATTAATAAAAAATTAAGGATAATTTTTGGCTTCAATATCTCGCGGAAAAGAGTTTTTCCCCTAGCGTAAAGCTATTACGCAGTACGAGAGATACTCTCGTAAGAGAACTAGAGTTTTATATATTCTAGAGAAAAGTAATAGCACACCTCTCCTTAAATGTGGAAAGTAATAGCACACCTTTGTTCAACAAGCCATATGATCTGATGTATCACTTATGTACTAAGTACCAATGAAGCAGGGATGAGATGCACTAAATGCAAGGTTGGCTCAGGTTTAAGGGTTTATTTGAATTTCTAAAACAAGTTAAATCAATAGTAATAGGTATGCCTGCCTTTGGGGCAACGGGGTAAAATGTTTCACCAAGGGGATAAAATGGTTTAGCTTTCCAACTCCATGGTCACCGTTACGTGAAATCTATATAATCTGTATATAAGCATACCTGAACTTTAACCTTCAGGCTAATACCACCCATATGGGGCCCTAATCATGAATTTTACATTCTATTAGGCCGTAATGGGAAGGTTGATGTTATTATTGATCAAAATGAGTCTATGGCAACATATTGATGCTGCACACAATGAAAAGCTGCCATAATCAATAAATGGCAAAGGCTGAGGACAGAGAATAAAAATGGCATCTCTTCTGTTCACACACAATAGCTATTGTTATAATTGAAGATGATTTGACAGGTCCTCAGTGTAATAAAAGGAAGTGCATTCTAAATCACTGCCTTTTTTAGCTTAGTGCCTGTATAGAGCAGCTTAACTTGCAAAAAGCAAGTACTAAACACCTCCTTATCAGTCCTTTATCAAGAACAAACAACATACAGGATCTGCAAATGCGAGATTGAAGCTTGTGGGAAATAATAAACAGGCTAGAGGAAATATGTTAGGTGGCTGGAGGATTAAAAAAGGTATTCTCAGACTAAGGCCTGAATTCCATTAGAAAACACTGTAAAATAGGTAAATAGATTAATACATTTTTGAAATGTATATAAAAAACAGTAAAATAATTAAAAGTGAAAAAAAAATTATATTTTTTAGGGCTGTCAAATGATTAATCACGATTAATCACATCCAAAATAAAAGTTTTTTTTACATAATATATGTGGGTGCACTGTGTATAATTATTTTATATATATAAATACACACACATGCTTGTATATATTTAAGAAATATTTTCATGTATATACTGTATATAGATTTATATATAATTTATATTATTATATATAAATATAAATATTTGATATATAAATAATATTTTTTTCTTAAATATACATGCATGTGTGTATTTATATATATACAAAATAATTATACACAGTGCACCCACATATATTATGTAAAAAAAACTTTTATTTTGGATGTGATTAATCGTGATTAATCATTTGGCAGCCCTAATATTTTTTTATGTTTTACTGTTTACGTTTCTATAGTTTTTTTCCTATTGTGACATACAGTATATCTGAATAAAACGGCTTCTTGAACGAGAAGGGCGGGACTTGGGGAATTGATTGGACGGCTGGATGGTTGTGGTTTGCTAATGGTCGATCTCATGTGATTGACAGGTTGTCCCGCCCTCGTGCCAGTAAACACGTCATCAGAGAAGAGAAGAGATGACGCTGCAAGAGGGGAAGTTATTTTGATTAAAGATTATGAGGGCACATGCATTTAAAAAAGGATGATGTGCATAGAAAAATTCTTCATAATAAATACTGCAACATTCCATAAAAAAAAAATAAGATGTCAATTTTGATTTCATGGTGACTTGAAAAGCTGTAAACCTCTTTTACAACCACTGAGCTCTGGGCAATCCAAAGGCCAAACCAAAGGCACTGAACTATCTCACACCAGTTCCTTTTGGTTTTGGCTCTTTCAGCATCAGTGGGATGCTCCCACGTCCTGCAAACCCACTAAAAATATCTCAGCAGAGAGGAAGAGATCTGCAGGGACTAATCCTACATCTTTAATTCACAGCACATTCTGCCATAATCAATGAAAGCAGTGGCAGGCAGCTCCTGCTTGACTGACACGCTAATGAGAGTTATGTTTACACCGTGAACATGAGAGCTAGTTTTTGTGTCAGAAATGGCAATCTTAAAAAAAAAGAGTCTAGAACCTCTTTTGAGGATTTTACTTTACTGATTGCCTCACTAAGTATGTGACCCTGTATGATCCACAAAGTCTCAACTTTGTACCCAAAAAACAAAGTGTGGATCTATTGTCCACACAATAATTAACATTATTTAGGGGAATCACTCTCGTATCTAAATAGGATTATTTGCGAGAAAGCTCTAAGATACAACAGGTTACTTGGTAACCTGGCTTGTCGTCATAAAAAATGTGTGCTTGTGATTTATGAGATCTTCAGAGTTGATCTCAGTCCTGCTTGGCTTGGCTTATACTAATTGACTGTGATTCTGAGTGCAGCATTCTGTTGCTTCAGTATAGTCTACAAAGGGGTTTCAAAGAGTTGAGTTAAAGAATAACTAAACGCTTTAATTTGAGGCCAGTCCACTCACACTGAAGTAATGACCATTAAAGCATTAAACACAAAACGGAAATGGGGAGAAGTAGGAAGAAATAATGAAATAAGATGCAATAGCATACAGTTTCGTCAGAATCTTAAATGTCCAAATTCACAAAAAACAACTTGCTCTTAATTTTAAACATCATTAGATAATTATTAAAATGGGCAAATATTTGAACATATGTAATCATTGCATGATCAAATGTTCGATTAAGGTCACAGGAATTTTATCTGCAATAATTAAAAATCATTAAAAAAAGGATACTTCTGATCCTACATGCTGATTGGTCAATACAAAGTTCCATCTGTGTTATATACACAAATGTAACCAACCTATTTAAATTAAAATCAGCTAATCGAATAAGTGTTTGCCATCACCATAGATGTTCTAGATTTCATAACTCCAGACCGCCGGATACGGTTAAACATGGAGAAATATGGCCATGCACTCACGTATGAGACAAGAATCTCGTATTGATTCAGTCACACGTGGCCTTGACCAATGACGTACCGGAGTCCATAAAATCTTCTGTTTACGTCATGGTCTGTCTCTGTCATTCTCGTTATTCTTAACATTGTTCTTAATACAACAATCAACCTTTTTTATTATTTTTATATTTATCCATCCTTTTTTTATTTTAAGCAATGCTTCATGGGATTGCAGTTCTTTCCTTCACAAAAGCTGGTAAGTACACAGTCTTGAAACCTTGTCTTTTATTTAGATAATGTTTTGCTTCAAATCAAAGAAAATGTGCTTCACCTCACAGCTGCTTGGTTTGGTTCATGGCTTATAACTCTTCAATGCAGGCTTTTAAAATCTTCCAGAACCAAGTCCGCTGAAGAAGTGGGCAGTCACTGTTGCACTCCATACAGGTTGCATGAATACCCTTTTTTACTGTCTGCACTACAAGTGATGAGTGACAAAACTAGGATGCAACAAAACTAGTGATAAACTAACCAATAATTGACTACTCAGTGCAACCCCCATTAGACATTTCTTATTACTCTTCATCGTCTAAATAATGAATGACAACACAAAATCAAGACTCCCAGTGTCCACAAGTCTCTGGGGAAACACTGTGGAATAAGCCACAAAACACCCACAGAAGCCGAAAAGATGCTTTGATTTCTGCATGACGGCCAGTGAATGACAATTTGGAACTTTGATCAACCAACCCAGAGTCCTTCACATGTGCTTGAGCGACTATCAGACCAAACTTCAAAGAGCTGCTTCCCATCCAGTGCAATTAAAAGAGCGGAGAGTCAACTGATATGACATGATGATCCTGTTAGGACGTGAGAGGCATATCCTGTTCTAAAAGAAAACGAAATTAAGAGAGAAAGTGATGAAAGCAAGAAAGAGGGTGATTGACAATGAAAGACGTAAAAAGGTAAAAACACCGATTCGAAAGGCTTGTCTGAGACTGTACATTGATGCGGTCTTATTTTTGCCTGTTTGTTATTCGCTGGAAACGTTACATGCCTCTTCGTACCATTAAACGAACATGAAAGACTTGAATAGAGATAAAAAAAAGTGAGTGTGTGAAAGAAAAAGAAAACGGCACCGAGGTAGGTAAAGCAATTTAAAAAAGCCTACTCGTGCAGCAGTCCACACAAATAATTCAGCCAATCAATTTTCAATAATTTATCAGCTGACCAAAGCACGAAGTCCTAGGCTTCTTCTGCAGGAGCAAAAAAAGAAACACTTCTTGGATCTGGGATTTTTGTGGGTCAGTCCAACAGCTCTAAAAAAAAAAATTGCTCCTTTGAAACTTCCTTCAGACATCATTTATCTTTCAACCAACCACCAAAGAGAAGGAATCCTTGTAGGCATAATATTACAAAAGGAATGGCAGTGTAGTGGCCCAACTGATGCTATAAGTCACATGACTACAACAACATGGTGGATGTGGTACGTTTTCTTTCGGATTTCTTTCATACGACACCTTTTTTCAATATTTTTCAAATTCATACGAAAATTCGTTCCTCATTGAACAAAGTACCTACTCTCAGACAATATGCAGTTTCAGACTCCTCAGCTTTAGTTTGAAGCCTGTGTAAATAAAGCAAGTGCCCACCGATGCAGACACACAACACAATAATAAGACAATACTTCTACAAACTCAAAAGGACAATATGAACAAGGTCACTTCAACTATAGACACTTCAGTCACATCCTAATGGCCGCACACATTGAAAGTAGTATATATTTGATATGGAAAGGAATTTGATTCTTGCCTCGTAGTAACTGCGCACGGCGTTGCAGAAAGCCTCATCTGCGACAATCTGTGTCTCTCCTTTCAGGAAGGCCTGGAAACGCTCCTTTACCACCTGTAACTGCTGCTTGTTTAGCTGAGAAAAGAAAAGAGAAAAAACAAGTTTACTGAAGATGTGATCAGCGGAAAATCAGTGGCATCACTTCTCATTTCTTCAGTGAATAAGAGATATATAGCCTAGTTTTTAATAATGCTTTCTATAGCACCTCTTCTGGTAACACTAAGAATGCGATGCGGTGCCATTGAGCACGTGTCAATATAAAAAGGCCATTTTCTGCTAAATTGTTATTTTTTGTAATTGCAATTCACTAGTAAAGCACTTGGAAATGGCTTTCCATAAATACAAATATCCTCATTTTACTTGTTTGTATGCATAAATGTTTTTTGCTATTATTGATGTTTTGGTTATGAATAATGAGGGGAAAACAATTATTTTCCCATCCTTTAATGCGTTTCCAAAGCTGACGCAAAATCAGCAGGAACTGTGGAACAAATGCATCGGTAATGTTTTAGAGGAAAAACATCTTTATTCAAAAATAGCTATGTAAAAAAGAAATGCTTTTTGGTTTAAAAAAAACAAACAAACATTAGTCATACTCTTTGATGTTGTTTGGAGGGGATTATATCCAATCAAATTGACCCACAGGAAGCATAAGACTAGGTAGATTCCGAAATCAGGACTATTAACTGTCATAATCATAGTCATGACTCATAAATTGACATCCAGGATGGCCATTTCAAAAACCGGCTTTGGCACAGACCTTGCCTATGGTTGGAAATTCCTAAATAGAAGGAGCCGTCAAGTAACAAAACAAATACATGAGACGGCAGTTCATATCCCACAACAAAATGGAGTTCAAACAATCTGGTCAAATTATTATTTTTTTTTTAAAGGGGTCATATAATGGTACATGCACTTTTACAAGTTGATTGTACTGAAATGTGTGTTGGCAGTGCCTGTACACAACCATCATAAAATGATAAAAATCCATCCAGTGTTTTTGTTTTAATCTCCTTATATGTTTTCCCCTGCCTCAAATCAAGCCGTTCGACCGTGTGACGTCACACGGTCGGAAGCCCCTCCCACGATTGTTGATTGACAGGAGCGTTTCAACACAGACCCGCCCTCGCTCGTGAGAGCTGTCAATCATAGTCTGCGCGGACCGGCGCGGTCATTGTTGATACGCTGGAGCACTGTCTATGAGCAGAATGGCGTCTAAGCGATTGTGGTGTTCTGTTCTTGGGGGTAATAACGAACACAGCAGTCATTTTAATGTTCCTAAATCCGAACCGCTGAAGACGCAGTGGCTGAGTTTGTTTTCGAAGGGAATATTCCCCACGAGCAACGTCAATGCTCTCATGTTTGCGCGAATCATTTCACACACCAGACTGCTTTATAAACGAGGATCAGAATAAAGCTGGATTTGCTAAGAAGCTGCTCACGAAAAAAGGATCGGTACCAGATATTCGTGTTCCTGCTGAATCGTAACGTTTTATTAAACTTTATATTAATATATTAATCTTTGCAAATCGCTAGCTGCACGCTTCACAATGAATGCGTCTAAGGTTTACACTCAGGGTACATTACGGCATGTTTTCTATGTATGACGTTCTCAATATAATTCATAATCCCACGTTTATACTGAACAACGCGTTATGGTTATTGTGTTACTGAGTTACAAACGGTGTACGCACAGAACAGAGGGGCGGAGTCAGCAAAGCTCATGATCATTTAAAGTCATATGCACTGAAACGGCGTGCTGAAAACAGAGCTGTTTTTGACCAGGTAAAATAAGTGTTTTCTTACAATACTAATGAGAATTTTTAAAGTATATTACAAACTTTTAATTTAAACCCTAAAGAATCATATTAGCTTGTACAAAAATGGCATTATATGACCCCTTTAAGAAATTAATACTTTTATTCAGCAAGGATTAAACAAAATTTATAATGATTTCCATTTCAAATAAATGCTGTTCTTTTGGACTTTATTCACTTTCTATTCATCAAAGAATCAAATATCAAGTATCAAAACTGTTTTCAACATTGATAATAAAAAGAAATGCAAATCGGCATTTTAGAGGTCACACGAAGTATCATGTGACACTGAGGACTGGAGTAAGTTTGATCAAATAAATGCAGTTTTGGTAAGCATCAGACATTTTTTCAAAACCATTAAAACATCTTACTTTGAACAGTAGAGTATGTACTTTTTGGTTTATAACAGGATTTTAACCTACATATTTTAGGTAGAAAATGCTGATACTAGGCGTGCCACGAAATCTCGTGATTAAATCTTGAATAAAAGGCGAAAATATTTCTTGTCGAGGTGAATATCAGCGGTATTCTTGGAATATCAGCATGAAGGAGTTTACTTTGTGGCAAATTCCATTTATATTGTTCTGTGTTTTACTGCAGATGATAATTCATATTCATTAAAAGATGATTAGTTAAAGCTAGAGCTCGACGATTAATGGTTAAAAGATAGTGATCTCCCACACACACACCCACACAATCTCATTCCTAAATGACAATGATTCGCCTATGTATATTAAACCTTTGACAAAACCACACCGGAACATTCAGATCTGCGCTGCCAATGATGCTGACCCAGAGAAAGTCAAATCATGTGTAGGTATGAAACAGCTTTACAAATCTTTTCAACCACAAATAAGTTTATAGTACGGATAAAAACCACTGATGTCTACGGAATCGATCAAAATAGTCTCCTTTTGAATTTAACATGGCGCTTCAAATAACGATTGTATTAATAACATCATTAAGTGGTGACAAGTGACTGTGTCATTGAATCATTCATTCAATATATTCGTTCAAAAATGCTGATTCATTCAGTAATAAAACAACTGAAGTATTTATTAATGAGTCATTGAATCATTAATTCAGAGTTTTATAAATTCAGATAAATTAAACATTTTAAATAGACTGCAACAATCAACATTTTGTCAGAACCTCTCGTAAATGACATTATTTGATTCTCAATTAATTCAGAATTGTGCAACTCTAGTTAAAACATTTCAAAATGCACCTGCATTGTTTTGCATTATGCGACTTTCAATCGAATAAAAGACTACTTTTCTAGTCATATATTTCATCATTGAAGATTTCTTAAAAATAGTGTTAAAATAATGTCTCATCTTGTGAACCCAACATTGTGTATCGTCTTGTAAGCTAAGTGTATCATCACACCCTCAGCTGATTCATTGTACAAAGTGTAAACAATGAAGAAGTCAGATTTTTTTGCAAATAAAGCATGTAAATAATGTAAATAATGCATTGACGCAAAGAAGTTCAAGCACAAAGCTATGCCACAAATCACTCTTGAAGGACATTAATTCTTAAGACATAAATAGTCATTTCAAATGTAAAGCTCTATTTTTTAGATACAATGTAACCAAACACAAAGTGATCCTGAAAAGCAGTGGAGTTTTGTAGCAATCTGCTCTGTTTATTTCCCCTTCTGTTAGATAGATGGTGAGCCCTCAGGCAAATGTAACAGATGAAATGTGCTACGACTGTCATGGTTTTAAAGCCACTGTAAATTCGAATATTCCCACCAAGTTGCAGCAACCTACAGGATATCCTTGATTTTGATGGCATGAATCTGTTAGACATCTAAAGTTATGCCTCGTGAAGTCTTAGAATTAGCATTCTAGCAGACATCCGTTTCTACAAACAGATCCCATGCATGTATCAAACACATAGCTGGTGTTGTTTACCATGTTGTTAATATGTTTCTGGTCGTGGTGCTATTAGCACTTTACCCAGAGGCGGTCATTAATAAATGCACTTGTTTGATATCAGCACAGCAACAGCATAGTGTGCTTGCATCTCCTCCATGTAGCATTCGCTGTCGTCTCGCTTTCAATGGCTTATTCACTTTCTGTTGTGATTGATTCGGCCTTGTCTCTTCGTGAGACAGTCATTCAGTCTCTCTTGTTTGTAAGGCAATGCTCAAGGGTGTCGACAGCCTCGCTCTAATATCCCTCACACCGGCGTGCAGTGAGAGGCAAAGAAAAAAATTGATAAAGTATAAGACAGTTTGAGTATCATTGATAACCAATCTCGCCAGAAGTGGTAGGTCTGGGTAATTTTTGCCTACTACTGCGAATTCGGACTTATTTTGTCACATACAGTTTTTATTATATAGTAGGGAAGTATTCTATTTCAGAGGCAGCCAATGTGTAGCTACTACTGCCACACAAACTCGTTAAAAAAAATAAGTCAGACAGCGAGAAAAAAAGTGTGACGAAAGCGAGAAACTCTAACGATCCCTGAAAAAATTTGTTCTTCAGTGTGGGAGTTTTTCAAAAATTCATAAAAATGTTTTAGGGTGTATTCACACCAGGAAAGTCCGATAGGTCACTTGCTTTGGTCCGGACCAAATAAACTTTTTTTTTTTTTTTTGGTACGGTTCGCTTTCACACTGCTCTTTTTGCAAGTGAACCAAAATTTGTAAACAAAACCACACGTGTGCTAAGGTCGTCCATTCATTGGACAAGGATTCTCAAGTAGGGAAATCAGGAAGTGCAAAAAAGGCTCAGCATGGAGATATTTCGTACAATATTTATTTTACTAATTTTGTGTTATTCTGTACAAACGCAATATGAAGAAACTGCGCAGAAGACGGATAAGGTATAAAGTTCATTCATAGAGAGGGGCTTTGTTCACACTTTCAAATAATGAGATTCTTATGCTAACAAGTGCTGTCAATGTTAAAGGGATACTCCACTTTTTTTGGAAATAGGCTCATTTTACAACTCCCCCAGAGTTAAACTGTTGAGTTTTAGCGTTTTTGAATCCATTCAGCCGATCTCCGGTTCTGGCGGTACCACTTTTAGCATAGCTTAGCATACATCATTGAAGTGGACAAGACCATTAGCATTTCTAAAAAAAAAATGACCAAAGAGTTTTGATATTTTTCCTATTTAAAACTTGACTCTTCTGTAGTTACATCGTGCACTAAGACCGACGGAAAATCTAAAGTTGCGATTTTCTAGGCTGATATGGCTAGGAACTATACTCTCATTCCTGCGTAATAATCAAGAAACTTCACTG